GGAAAGAGACATGCTTTATTCATCTTTGCACCCTTCTACAATCTAGCTCAGAACTTTGTCTGTAATGAGAATTAACACATTTAATAAATGACTTACCATGATAGATATATGCACATGCCAATATGTGGAAAGTCTAAACAAGGTTTGATAGTGGGAAAATAAGCTGAACTTATTAGGTAAAATCCCCAGGTCACCCCTCCACCATGCAGTGTGTTGAGCTACATAGGGGCTGATCAGGAGGTGTTTAAGGGAAAGATCAAGACAATAGAAGAATTAGAAGTAAGCGTATAAACTGGTAGGCTGCTGAGAATAATGGAAAAATAACCTGAAGGAAGTACTAAGTCTCAAAGGAATATGATGAAACTAAAAGGCACAGAGGTTTAGGTTCTGTATATCTTGTCAGGAGTTGCACAAGAGTGTAACTGAGATGAGTACTTAGGAGATGACTAACATTTTTGTTTTGTTGCTGAGATTTAATTATATTTTGGAACCTTGAAGCTTTCAATGTATTGGAAGGTTATTGTATCTTGTTGGTCATTTATTCCCCAAGCATAATACAGTTTCTGGCATATAGTAAGTACACAATACAATTGAATAAATGAATGTATCAATATTTCATCTACTTGACTTTTCTCAAAACTACTCCAGCATATAGAGAGAACATCATTGTGTTATAGGGCTGACATTTAAGGGCTGGTAGGCCTGTGCTTCTCTTTTTAAAAAATAGCATAATATTTCATTTTCTCCTATGTTATTAGTTTTCATTGTATAGTTTATAATTATCCTTAGATCTTTATTTAGCTACTAATATATCACATTGCTAATTTAATTAGTCTTATTTTATTACTTATCTCTATCTCTCTCATATATAAGTCCGCACTGGTTTTAAAGTGGGGGATAGAAGGCCCCTGCTATTCTGTAATAACCGTCTAACCATGCAGACAGGTTCTGCTGATGGCCTAGAAAACAGTCCAACCATTTCTTCTTAGAGGGGAAAGACAAAGGAAATCCAGTAATAAATAAGATGCTAGATCTTCCCTTCAGGCAAATGCAATTTTAGGAGTTGAATTTGTTGTAGAAAATATTTTTTAGATTCATGATATTATGTATGCATGCGTGCATGCATGAGAGAGAAGGCAGCACATTCCAAAGGGTCTGATCACACAACAATCTCCCTTCAGTCCTCCATTGCATCAGCTCTTGGGCACACACACACATACCTGGCAAGTTTCAGTTTGACTATGGATTTGAACTGGGGTCACCAGGTGGGATCTGTTTTCTTTTGAGCAGCATGTTACCTTTGTGCCACAGAGCCAGCCCCTGTTACAGAAAACATAATGTAACTAAATGAATATTAATATCCATTTTCTTTTTTTCTGAGAACAGATTGCAACTCATAGGAAGGAAGTTGAAGAATTAGAAAAAACTATTCATGAGTTGGAAGAAGAAAATTTGGTGCTTATTGATCAACTATTCAACTGTAGACTTGTGGATCTCAAAATACCCAGGTAAAAGTTATTACCACATCTGGAAAATATTTTATAAATATTTTTTAGAAGTCATGATTTTAAAAATATAATTGAATTATTTATTACTCCAGTCAGATTGCAATAGTCAAAAAGAAAGAACCAATGACCATGGCGAAGGTATAAGATTATTACTACTGATCATTGGTACAGTGTAATCCTTTAATTTTTTCTGGCAATGCACCATAGTCATAATAGCAAACACTTAAACTTGAACATCACAACTGCCAACCTTCAGGGGCCTATAGGCCAGCAGAGAAATTGGTCATGAAATAAATGCGTGTCAGTATAGTTATCAGATATATGAAGTGCCAAGTTAGCACAAAGGCAGGGGAGGAGATGTAATACACTTTCTAGAAGTTTCTTGGGTGTTCTGGGATTCTGATTACCTTGTGTAGGAGAGAATTATTTTCTTTGATAAAAGAGTCAAATTGCTTTGCAGGCAAAGAAAATAGCCTAGCATTCTAAGACACATTTGTTCCTATACAAAAAAAACCAAATGTGTATATGGCTTCAGATTATAGGTTAGCTATTTCTCTTATTTGAAAAAAACGTCTTACTATACTAATCTGGATGAGAAACTAGAGCCTTGGAATATGGAATTAAAATTTAAAATGGTAGTCATGGGGCCAGCAGGTGGTGTGGTGTAGTGGTTAAGACTCTAGACTCCCAGATGGCCAGCAGTGGTTTGAGTCTTGGACCTGGCAGCTTGCTTTCTCTCTCTTTCCTTCACTGTCTCTCTCTAGTGAGTGCACATTCCCTATAGCAAAATTGATTAAAATAAAAAAAATCGATTCTTTAAAAAAATCAAATGGTAGTCATAATTTGGATAAAGATTCAGAAATGGGAAATAATCTAAATAGTAGCATGTACAGGAAGAGAGGGGGAAATCAGTCACACAAACATAAGGTATATATTTACAAGTATGGGAAAGAAATGTCTATGTTTAGGAATAGAGTAGATAAAAATTTTCCACCCAGGTAGTTCCTGCTGTTCATATGACATGGAAAAATACTATCTGAGACACAATGAAGTATTAGTTATTTACAAACTTCCTATTGTAGGCTAGGACAGGTGAGTCTGGGTAAGTTCTGGGTCCTTTGTTTGGTAAGCCTAAGTGATGAGTGTCAGAAGATTAGAGAAACAGGGAGACAGTGTAATTACTTTACAGGCTGAAAACCACTTCCCTTTCAAATTACTTTATGACTATATGTGCTCCAGGGAGAGTAGATGACAACAAAAATGATATAGGGGGTGAGGATAAATGAATGGACTATTACAGGACTCCACTACTTCCAGGCTCTTGAGCTGGTGCCCAGCAGGCTCCTGGGAGTAGATGCTTCAATGCTCCCTGGTAGGCAGTGCTCTCTTTTACCAGCCCTCTCTTACAAGGTCTCCAGCTCCCCATTCCTATTCTTGTCATCCATTGCTGCTGTCGTGACCATGTCTAATCTCTGCCAGCTACCTTCATACCTCTTTGTTGAGAATTCAGTCATATATAATACTATTAGGATGATGAAAAATAGATTTTATATATCCCAGTGGATATATAAAGTTGTTTTCCAGGACCAGTAGGTGGCATGGTGGTTAAGGTGCTGGATTCTCATAGGGTCAATCATGGCTCTAGTCCCAGACCTGGTGACTTGCTTTGTCACTTTCCTTCTCTCTCTCTGTCTCTCTCTGGTGAGCATACGTGCCCTATAGCAAATTAAAAAATAAATAAATAAATATTTTTTAAAAGGTCTGTTTCCCGGGACCAGCAGTTAGCGTAATGGCTATGTCACTGGACTCCCACGTAGTAGACCGCAGTTCGCGTCCTGGACCTGGTGGCTTAAAACTCACGCCGGGTGCGTGTGCATGCATGCCCAAGATCCCAAGAGGAGAATGGAGGAGAAGGGATTGTGGTGTGGCCATCCCCCCCGTTTAAATTTTTGCTATAGGGCATGTGCACTCACTGGAGAAAAAGAGAGAGAGAGAGAGAAAGTGAAAAATCACCTTTCTAATCCCTTCTCTTCCATTCTCTTTTCAAGATTTTGGGTGCACATACACATATGAAAACCTCTCAAAAAAAAAAAAAAGGTCTGTTTCCCTACTTGGATAGGAAATGGGATTTTTTTTTTTTTTAAATTTTTGCTATAGGGCATGTGCACTCACTGGAGAAAAAGAGAGAGAGAGAGAGAAAGTGAAAAATCACCTTTCTAATCCCTTCTCTTCCATTCTCTTTTCAAGATTTTGGGTGCACATACACATATGCCTGGCATGTTTTACAAGGTGCCAGGTCTGGGACTTCAACTATGCAGTCAGTCATGTGAAATTCAGCTGCCTTAACTGCCATGCCACCAGCTGGCATGCATGTGATATTCTGGTTAATAGAATTACTGCAGTTCCCATGCAGAGTTTCCCAAACTCTTTCCATCACATCTCATGTAAGGCTGTCATGGGATTTCTCTGACACACTCGAGTAAACAGATGAGGTGACTATCAGTGTCACAGAGCTCAGGCTAAATGGCCCAACACCTATAAATCTAACACGAACTTAATATAACAACATCTTTCAAGAATATTTTCTATCATTAAATATTAAGTGCTGCTGCCCTGTAGTGCTACAGAAATGACGATAAACTAATAATCGAGAGAGAAATCTAGATTTCTGAAGGTTAAGGCATTTAGTAAGATGTTAGTTATTCAAAATGGTAAAATAGGAAACTCTATAAAAGAACTCTGTGGGGGCCAGCAGGTTGCATAGTGGGTAAGGCAGTGGATTCCCACATAGCTGACCGTTGTTTGAGTCTCAGACCTGGTGGCTTGAAAGTCACACTAGGTGCATTTGTGTACAAGCCCAAAGTTCCAGGAGGATACTGGAAGAGAAGGGATTGTGCCCTGGCCATACCCCCTGGGGAGTGATTTCTCACTTCCCCTCTATCTCTCTTCAGCAAGCATATGTGCCCTATGGCACAAACCTTAGGAAGGGGGGGGGGGGTGGAACTCTAAGGTTTCAGATATGTCTATCTACAGATGAGAAACTAACCTGTGAAACTAACCTTTACTCAGCTATGTCTTTAGCAGTTTTTACAGATGGAAGCACTGTATGTAGTTACACAGTTTGCTGGAGTGGTAGTTTTTACAGATGGAAGCACTGTATGTAGTTACACAATTTGCTGGAGTGGTAGTGTCTGGGTAACACTTTCTTCACGTTCTTTAAATAACTGGCAGCTTCTGATTCAGGAGATTCACTTTGGTTGCTAAGCTTAAGGATGAGAAGTTGTTTGCACATCTGCAAGGGTCCAATTGTTTCATGCTGTTCTCAAGCAAACCTCATGGAAATGCCATACAGAGCTTTCAAGGCATCTTGTTTCCTGATTTGAAATTTGGTGGGCATTCTGAAAGGGAGAGTACAGAGTTAAATACCTGCACAGAGTTAGTTGTAACAAAGCACACCATCAGCTCACTAGGCTGTAGGCAGCACTCACCAGTCGGTGAAAGCTAAGACCTGGGCGGCATCGTGGATTCCTACAGTTCACTTTCTCTTTCTTGTTTTTCTCTTTATCTCAAACTCATCTCCTTGAGGCCCTACCATTCCTCATCTGAATTACTACAGCGGCGACCTAACTGGTGCCGTGCTCATCTCTTTCTGGGATTTTATTAATAAATATGTTACTAACTTGCCTTGTAATGTCCTTCCCTTACTCCCAGCTCTTCCCTGGTGAACATCTCCTGGTTCTTCAAGAATCCGCTCAGGTCCTTTTTCTCCTCCAGGACACCTTCCCTTATTGCCCCCAACTAACTCAGGCGTTTCTTCTTTCTGGACCCCAGCATTCTCACCCTCTTCATGGTATTATTTATCATTTAAAAATACTATAAGACTGAGGACCAGCAGGTGGCATGGTGGTTAAGGGCTCTAGACTCCCACATGGCTCACCATGGTTCAAGTCCCGGACCTGGCAACTTGCTTTTTCATTTCCCCCACCTCCCCACACTCTGTCCCTTTCTGGTCAAATTAAAATAATAAAGAAATAAATAAATTAGTTAATTAATTAAGTTAAATAAAATAATTCTTAAAAAAAATACTCTAAGACTATTTGCCTGGACCTTATGCTCAAGAGTAGACACTGTGTCTCACTTGTCATTTATCCACAGCTGGTAGGGGAGTAGTCACTGCTGATCAGGTTAAGAAAATACTTCTTGACTAACAGACTGCTTTCTTTATTCATCCTTTTAGGCGACTGTATCTTACCCAAGCTTGTGGACAAGAGGTACCACCTGAAAAAAGTCCTTTGGAGTTGTCAGAAACATATATAGGTATTATTTTTATTACAATGGTGATTTTTCTTTGTCAGTTTAACAAATGCTTCTTGAGCATCTATGATAGGTATGCACCCCACATTCAAGAGCTATTTAGAGAGCAGATATACGCTAACTGCTCTAGATTTCTTTTTTTCTTTGTAGTGCGTATCCTAACCTGTCTCCTCTCTCATCTTTCATTTTCAAATCAAAGGTACCATGCTTCACAGTGAATTAAATAGATGCTAGAAAAGAGAGATGAGGGATGAGGGCTGTAAGAAAGTAGAAGAAACTGAATAAACCAACAAAAACTATTTTAATTTCTAATTAATTGCTATACTGGCATGGTTTTCAGTCCAGTACAGCCAAACAAATGCTAACACACACATAGGTTCTCATGTGATTATCGTAACTTATTATTAGCTAACTAAAGGAACCACAACTAAAGAGTTTCTAAAAATGAGACTATCAGATCAGCCCTGAAACCTAGTGGTTAAGGAAGCCAGATCTCACAAGGCTAAACAGTTCCAGTCTTGGCCTTAGTGGCTTGAAAAGCACACCAGGCATGTGTGTCTGCATGCCCAGAATCCCAATAGGAGAGAGAAATGGAGGAGAAAGGATTATGGTGTGACCATGCTCCCACTGGGGAGGTACTTTCTCTCTCTCTTTGTTTCTGATGAGTGCATAGGCCCTCTGGAAATCAAAAAGAAAAAAACTGAGACTCTCTTTGATATATAAATTCAACATTTCTAATTCTCAAAGTGCTTCAAATTAAAAATACAACCAAGTATAGATTGCATTTTTATCTGTTGAAAATGCATACATAATTACTTTCTTTGTATTTATCCCCAACTCATAGGCAAAGAAAGTAGTGACATGATGAGTGGATCATTTCAGAGCAGTGCCTTAGACCTTAGTCAGGAAGACAGCACTGGAGACATCCAGCACCTGAAATTGGACAAAGCGGAGAGCTTGAGTGTAGAGTTTGGAGTCTCTGATATGAAATACTTGCTATATGAGGATGAGCAGGATTTCAAGGTAAGATTCAAGAGAATACAATATTGATTACTAAGAGAATGCTGTTTTATTAATTAACAAAAGAAATTAACCTAAAATATGGATACTGAAAAATTCTATTACAAAAACTGGCCCACCATTTACATCTCTCATTGGATACTATTTGGACATTGGAAAAGTCATGATGCATTTTTGTATAGAAAACCATAGAAAAATACATTGTGACTTTTTTTGATGACCCAATATTTTCACTCTTATGCCTGCCCAATTTGTTACATATATCCATTGACAGACCTCCAATACTGGTATACAATGTAAATTACCTAATCCTACATATGAAATATCCCCAATTCTAGTGGCTTATAACAAAATTATGTATTCTACTTCAAAGCTTCTGTCAGTTAGTATTTGAGAGAGCTCCACTGGACAGTGCTCACTTGGATTTTGGGGTAGTTGTGATCATGTGTTGGCTGGGGCTGCAGGCATCTGAAGGCTTGACTGGGGTAGGAAGATCCATGTTCAAGGTGGCTCACTCCCATGGTTGTCAAGTTGATGCTGGCTAAGTTGGGGCCTCAGTTCCTCTTCACATGGGCCTCTGCACAGAGTGCCATGCATGTGTGTTTGTGATGGCACCTGGCTTCTCCCAGAGCAAGCAGTCCTAGAGACCAAAACAAAATCAGCAATGTTTTATGTGACTTTGCTTTGGAAATCTATGCCATCACTTCTATCATATTTTATTCATTGATGTAGTTACAAAGTCCTACCCAAGGGAAGGGACACAACTCCCTCATCTTGCCAGAGGAAGGTCAGCATCATACTGTAAGCAAGTACACTGGATAGGATATATATTAAGCCATCTTGGGAAAGTACAAACTGCCAAATATACTATTCATTAAAGGCTGATGTATCAAGCCTTTTCATTTTAAAACCTCTTTTTACATTTAAATTACATTTAAATTATCCCCACAGCCAACCCTGTTAATTTCCTTCTTGGTACTGTAAAACCCTTAAAAGTTCTCCTAAAACTTAAAGTCTGGTGGAAGAATGATGTCAGAAAGTAGAAATAACTGAATAAACTAATGAAAACTAATTTAACTAGGTACAATTCAGTCCTACCTAGTGACCATTTAAAGTTTTTGCCTCTCTAGCATCCAAACCCCAATGAGCATCTTGGAATTATGACTCCAGTATGTCATGATGACTTTGGGCTAATTGACAGTTACCTTCAAAATCCCCTAATTGCATACCATTTTATTGAATGAAAGACTTTCTTATTTTACATGTGAGTTTCTGATGTGGCGAAACTGCCACAGATATGGCATGTTACTTTGGAATCCTCATTCAGATTATTTTGAAATATGTAGTACACCTTCATCAGCTTTTCTCTTACCGTATATTTATCATAGCTTTATACTTACATATTTTGAAAGGTAAATACAGGGACTTTTGAGAATTAAAACATCCCTTTCTTTTTTAAAAGCTATTTGATTTTTCTAAATTAAAATTAATATGTATTAAGAACCTCATAAAAACAGGTACTTAGATGGTTGGGAATTTAAAGGTAAAAATAGGGGAAAAAAATGAAGTCTCACAGATTCTTGTGCGGCAGGCCCTATCCCCCCCAAATCACTTAGAGCCTTACAGAAGACAGAAGAAAGTTAACACTTACCATATAAGAGGAAATGTATCACCTGCATCTCTATCTGACCAGACTGTGAGCTTACCTTGCACCCCAGCACTTGATATAGGGCTTGGCACATACCGGGCTCTCCTGAAAGGCTTGCTGAAGTGTTGAAGGAGTTCAGAAGCAAGAGTTATGGCTTGGAGGCTTCCCAGAGGAAGGGATGTCAGGTAGTGCTTGAGCTCTTTCAACCCAGTTTTGAATTGGCTGTGGGATTCCATAGAAATTAGACTTCTAACTCTGTTTGTTGCTCTCTTTTAGTTAGTGTGATAGAATGTGGTTAAGTTTTATCTGTACAATACCCATGGGATATTCCAGTAGGAAATTCATGAAGAATTTGCTCAGTATAGAATATATATTAGTCAGGGCCAACAGATGGTACAGAGATTAAGGTGCTGGATCTCACATGGTCAACTATGTGGTTCAAGTCCTGAACCCAATGACTTTAAAACCACACCTGGCATGTTGTGCATATGTGCCCAAAATCCCAAGAGGAAAATGGAGGAAAAGGGATTGCAGCACGGCCATCTCCCCGAGAGGGATGATTTCTCACTTTCCCTGTTTTCCTGTCTCTGTCAAGTGCATGTGCCCTGTAGCAAAAAATGAATATTTATTATTCTATATGGCATTTGCAGAATCTTTCCCATTGAAAACTCTACTGTGGTTATGTACTGACCAGCAGAAGGCTAAGTATACATAGCCAA